CCAGAAAAAGGTGAGTCCGGCTCCCACCTCTTCAACACTAATTTCAGGTGGAGCATTTGTGATTCGAGTGGGGCTTGAACATGCTTCTGGTCTCTGTGTTTTAGAAGCACTAATCAATTCCGGAGCAGCAGGAAACTTTCTGGACCAGGAGGTGGCGCGCCGTCACAACATCCCCTTACGAAGCCTCGCGCCTCCCCGTCACATTCAAGCCATCGATGGAGCACCCATTGGAAATGGCCACCCACTCATCACCCAAGTAACGGAAAGTCTCCTCCTGCATGCCAGCGCCTTGCATCATGAATCCATTTCATTTTTTGTCATTCATAAAGCCCAATATCCCCTGGTCCTCGGATACCCCTGGTTAGCTCAGCACAATCCCCAAATAACATGGGACAAAGGGGACATCATCCGTTGGTCCCCCTACTGCTTTCAGAACTGCCTGTCCTGCACCACGATCAATATCTCCTCCACTTCCATCGAGAGCCCTGATGGCCTGGTTCCTGCCACCATTCCCCACAAGTACACGGATTTGAAGGAGGTATTCAGCAAAAGAAGGGCAAGTGGATTACCCCCACATCGAAGCTACGACTGCGCCATTGAATTCCTGCCGGGGCTGTCCCGCCTAAAGGGGGGGTGTATTCACTCTCCATCCCGGAACAACAGGCAATGAAGGACTATATTCGAGAAGCCCACCAACAAGGGTACATCCGGCCCTCAACCTCCCCCGTTTCCGCCGGGTTCTTTTTCGTTGAGAAGCGGGGAGGTGGCCTGCGCCCCTGCATTGACTACCGGGCGCTGAACCGCTGTTTTGTGCGCTACCGATATCCCCTCCCGCTGGTACCGTCCGCCCTGGAACAGTTACGGACAGCCAAGATGTTCACAAAACTGGACCTCCGCAGAGCCTACAACCTAATTTGTATTCAGGAGGTAGACGAGTGGAAAACGGCGTTCAGTACACTCACCGGGCACTACGAGGACCTGGTAATGCCCTATGGGCTTTCTAACGCTCCATCAGTATTCCAGTGCCTCATAAACGACGTCCTTCACGACATGCTGGGAAAATTTGTCATTGCCTACATTGACGATATCCTCATTTTCTCTAACTCACCGGAGGAACACCGGTCACACGTGCGCCAAGTTCTACACAGACTGTTACGGAATCAGCTGTACGTCAAAACAGAGAAGTGTGAGTTCCACCGGACCACCATAGCGTTTCTGGGATATGTCATTCGTCCCGAAGGGGTGTCCATGGACCAAGAAAAGGTTACCGCAGTGCTGAAGTGGCCGACACCAACCAGAGTCAAGGAATTACAGCGTTTTTTGGGGTTTGCAAATTTTTATCGAAGGTTCATCCGAGGTTTCAGTGCGATTGCAAACCCCCTCACATCCCTGTTACGGGGGTAGCCAAAGACCCTGGACCCTGGAATCTCGAGTCTCAAGGAGCCTTCAATAAGCTCAAGACCGCCTTTACCATGGCACCCATCCTCCGGCATCCTCACCCGGACCGTCCCTTTGTGGTAGAAGTTGACGCCTCAAGCACAGGGGCCGGGGCGGTCCTCTCCCAGAGGTTCGGGGACAAACCAAAGCTGCATCCTGTTGCGTTCTTCTCGCGCAAATTTAGCCCCGCCGAGCGGAATTATGGGGTGGGGGACCGAGAACTTTTGGCCATGAAGCTGGCCTTCGAGGAGTGGAGACACTGGCTGGAGGGGTCAACCCACCCATTCATGGTTTTTACTGACCACAAGAATTTAGAATACCTCCGGACTACCAAGAGAATGAACGCACGTCAGGCCAGATGGAGTCTGTTCTTCACTCACTTCAATTTCATGGTCTCCTACCGTCCCGGCTCCAAGAACCTCAAAGCGGACGCCTCTCCCGGCAAGGAAGCCCGGGCCGGGCTCCCGACCCAGCGGACCCGATCCTCCCTCCCACCTGCTTTTCCAGTGCGCCACCGGTGGGATCTGGACCAGGAATTAGAGCAAGCGCCCACAGACAGCATCCCCGCTAATTGCCCGTCCGGGAAACTGTTAGTTCCCGAGAACCATCGAACTAACCTGATCTCCTGGGCCCATTCAGTCAGAGGAACTGGGCACCCTGGGGCAAAACGAACCTATCAGCTCCTACAGGAGAAGTATTAGTGGCCGGGCATGGACCAAGAAGTCCGAAAGGCGGTGGCGTCATGCTCCATGTGCGCCCAAGCAAAGGTACCTAGGAAACTGCCAGTCGGTAAGCTAAGACCGTTGCCCATACCCAAAAGACACCTGGCCATCGACTTTATCACCGATCTGCCCGTTTCGCAAGGGAACACAGTAATCGTCGCAGTGGTGGACCGATTCTCGAAGGCCGTCCGTTTTATCCCCTTGCCCGCGCTCCCCACTGCCTTCGCTACCGCCACTCTCATATTCCAGCACGTTTTTTGTTATTTCGGCATCCCCGAGGAGATTGTCAGTGACCGGCGCTCCCAGTTCACCTCTCGGGTATGGACCAGCTTCATGGAGAAACTAGGGGTGACCGTGAGTCTCACCCCCAAGCCAACGGACAAGCCAAAAGAGTGAACCAGGAACTAGGACGCTTTTTGTGAATCTTTTGCACTCGAAACCCGGAGGACTGGAGCACCTTCATACCCTAGGCTGAGCTATGCGAGAATTCCCCCGCCCCCTCGGCCACCCAGCTAACTCCCTTCCAGTGTGTGCTCGGGTATCAGCCACCCTTGTTCCCGTGGAACGTTTCCGGCCGGCTGTGCCGGCTGTCATCCGGTGGTTCGAGCGGAGTGAGCAGATCTGGGCAGCGACCCACCGGCGCCTCGAAACCATCTCGGGGAAGTACAAACACCAGGCTGATCGCAGACGGAGTGACCACCCTAACTATCAACCGGGGGATAGAGTGTGGCTCTCTACACGGGATTTGAAGCAACCTCACACCTGCAGGAAGCTCACTCTGCGATATACTGGGCCCTATCGAATCCTCCGCCAGGTTAATGAAGTTACGTACCGCCTGAAGTTGCCGCCACATAGTCGAATATCCCCGTCGTTTCATGTGTCTCGTCTGAAACCGGTAATGGATGGTCCCCTGGCAGATGATGTGCCGGCAGCCGAACCCCCGACTCCCCTCCAGATCGAGGGGCAATCAGCGTATCGAGTGAGTCACATCCTGAGATCTCGGCGACAAAGGCAGGGCTTGGAGTATCTAGTCGCGTGGGAGGGTTATGGACCAGAAGAGCAGTGTTGGGTCCCGCGTCAGGATATCCTAGATCCCGAGCTGTTAGAGAATTTCCATCACTCATACCCGGGTCTCCCAGGTCCCAGGCCACGAGGGAGGCCGAGGAGCGTTGGGGCTCCCGGAATACTAATGAACAACACCTGGTGTCGGCTTTCTTGGAAACACAGGTATTTAAGAAGCCACATTCCGAGTTCACGGTGCGAAGTATACGCTCGTAACATTTGTTTGCTGCGATACCAAGCTCTCTGATATCTTTACGACTTCCTGGTTTACCAGAACTCTCTGCCTGCCTCTGACTATGCTTTTGGATCTTCCGCCCTGTATAACGCTTCCGCTTGTTTACCCCGACGCCGTCCCTGGATTATCCCGCATTCCTTTCACGCCGTGTTCGCTGTCGGCCTCCACCTGCTCCCGCGCCTGTGTCCTACGGTTACTAAGTAGCAGATATTATTGCATTCATAACTGCCTGAGAGCGCCAACAATATTAAGTCTGAGGATTAATTACTATGCAGTTAGGTGCTAGTTATACTTGATAACTTATCTGTTCCTGACTAGCAGGAGAAGTTACTCTACAGGTCAAATTGTTAATTAGCACAGTCTTTGAACTGGCATTAATGTATTTTAAAATAGAATGTAGTAATGTGATAACTGAATTTAGAAGAAGAAAGATGTGTGCATTTTGTGCACATTTATTGTTATTTTATAAAAAATATATGTATAATAAATAATTGTTATTATTCATTTGTCATCAGAAACTGCTTATTTCCTGCTCAAGGTACCAGCAGATCCAAAGTCTTTCCTGAGAAAACTGGACACAAGGTGGAAATAAATCCCTTGATAGGATACCAGTCAACTGCAGGACACAACATACATATTCACACACACACACACACACACACACACACACACACACACATTAACACTGGCAATTCTGCATAGCCAGCAAACCTACTGTTATGGTTTTGGATCACATCTGGGGGGACACATGGATACATGTAATTTTCCACTGCAAAGACAATTAGCTGTCCTTTCTGTCTCCCTGTAGCACTGTCTTAGGTGGTTTACATTATAGACATTGCAGTTTATTGCTCAGGACACATCTGCAGTCCTCATGCCTCCCTCCTGCAAGCCTATGACATGTTCACGCAGGTAAGCAGGAGCCCTAGTCATCTTTCTTCTGGTGATTTCAGAGTCTGTAGAAAGGTCTCTTTAGGGTCCTAAATTATTGTAACTGTGACTTATATATATGCATATATATACATACATGATATATACATGTATATATACATAGATATACATGTATGTATAATGCTTTAGCTTTCCCTGGCAGTTCTTCAGGGTATTTCTAGAGACTTAGTTAAACAGACCCTAGTGTCATGTCTAAGATTGGAATCACATGCACCCTGGTCCTTATGTTTGCTTAAGTTTTCTATTCATTTATTTTTTTGTTTATTTTTGGGCCCTAGCTCAATGTGCAACCTAACATTTGTGTCTTAAAAATACTATGAAATCAGGAGGTCCTTTTATCACATTTTCCCTCCATTCTGCCTTGTCACAATAGTCACACTGCCTGAGCCAAATGTCTACATGGTTATTGAATCACTGCAGATGATAGACCTCATAGAAATTACCTTCTGACCTTTACACTATAGTAGAAAGCCCTAAGCTTATTTGGTTATACTGCATAGCCATGGTATATGATAATTTTACTTTTCATCCATTTCAAACTTTTCCCTTGTCACTGAGGATTTGAAAATTACTATTACTATTATAATAATAGGGCATACAGTGGCATAGTGGTTAGCATGTTCGCCTCACACCTCCAGGGTCCGGGGTTCGATTCCGTGGCCATGTGTGTGTGGAGTTTGCATGTTCTCCCTGTGCTGCCGGAGTTTCCTCCGTGTACTCCGCTTTCCTCCCCCTGTCCAAAGACATGCATGGTAGGCCGATTGGCATGTCTAAAGTGTCTGTAGTGTGTGTATGTGATTGTGCCCTGCGATGGACTGGCACCCTGTCCAGGCTGTACCCCACCTTGTGCCCGATGCTCCTTGGGATAGGCTCCAGGTTCCCCCGCGACCCTGAAGAAGGAGTAAGTGGTAGAAGATGGATGGATGGATGGATATAATAATTATTATTATTTTATTAAATTTTTTCACTTTGTAGCTGAGAAATTAACCACCAGTGCAGAGGGTTGTGGCCCCAGGGCATGATAAGCTTTTTGTATTTTCCAGGTCCAGAATGGAAAATGTCTTAATTCTCTTTGAGCATAATAAGAAAATAATGGCCGAGTTCATCTCTTCTTCCTGTGGAATCACACAAATTCTCTTTTGCTGATGCATTGAGCAAATCTTTCTTGGTTCAGCAACATTGCTTGAAGGTGCATCTGTCTGTTCAGCCATTACCACCTCCAAATCTGGTAGTCTTTCATCTCTCTGGATTCTATTTTTCATGATATAGCCTCAAACTATACAAACTCAAATTTCTTACTCCTCTGTGCATTTAGCTTGATCAGAATCTTGGGTATTAGCATGTGTTAGACCTGGTGTTACTTTTCTTCTTCTTTTTCAAATTCATGTAGCCTTAAATGCCCTGCGATGGACTGGCATCCTGTCCAGGGTATACCCCGCCTTGTGCCCGATACTCCCTGGGATAGGCTCCAGGTTCCCCCGCGACCCTGAAAAAGGAGTAAGCGGTAGAAGATGGATGGATGTAGCCTTAAACCTAGTCACTACTCCTACTCCTTCATCTTCTATAAGATAAGCTACTGCCTAAGAATACCTTTAATACTTGGGCTGCTTTATTTTTAAGTCTCTTTTTTAAGGTAAGACAATACAGGTGAAAAGGGTCATTTTAAAAAATCCATCCATCCATTTGCTGTACTGCTTATCCTACACAAGGTTGTGGAGGAGCCTGGAGCCTATCCCAGTTGACTCAGGGCACAAAGCAGAGGACACCTTAGACAGGGTGCCATCCCATCAGAAGACACAATCGCACACACATTAACACACTATGGACAATTTGGAAATACTGATCAGCCTACAACGCTATATTTGTACTGGGGAATAAACTGGAGTACTCAGAGGAAACCCCCAAAACAAAAGGAGAACTTGCAAGCTCTGCAGGCACAGGATGGAGGCAGGAATCAAACCCCCAACCCACAACCCGTAGGTACAAGGCAAATGTGCTAAACACAAAGCCACCATGCCCCCATACCACAATTAAAATGTCTAAAAAAAATAAAATAAAATAAAAAGTAATTCTAAGTACATCAACAATCCAAAAAACAATGGTAAGTTCTTTACATTTTTTTTTATTTATTCGAATTTTATTAATTTCCGTATCTTATTTATTTATGCAAGTGAGATTGTGTCTAATAAAATATGCACATATTTGCATACTTAACAAAATCCAAACTTATAGTATTGGATGTTGTTAGACTAAAAATCACTGAATTTCACTGTGATCACAGACTCAAGAGAAAGACTTTTACAGAATAATTAATTGGGAAATCTTTTTTGTTGTTGTTTCTTCAATTAAATAATATGTGCCATTAAAATTGACTCATTTTCCAATATGAAATTTAAAAAAAATCTAATAGAAGAGATGGAAACTCGAGTCTGCGACTTGGACTTCAGTCGCGCTTAAGTCGCAAAAAAATTGACTCGAAACTTGTCTTGGAATCATGAACAACTGACTCAAGAGCTGACTTGATGACAGAGACTCATGAAAAAAGCAAGTCATTTTGGTCTGGCATTCCTGATTAAGTTCTCTCTTTACTACCCCACATGATACATTCATGTGTGACGCATCTGAAGTCATGTGTTTATCACCCATTGGAAAAGTGCTGTTATATAAATGCACAACAGAGAACAATATAGCCTAACCTTGTCTTACTGTGTGATAATCTTTGTGTCATTGAATTTGCAAAGCAATAAGTTAATCCTGAGTTTAGCTGAAGTATTAGCTCAAAAAATACACAGTGTATTTTTTTTTTTCGTCTTGTGGTGACAGTCTCTACGTTTCAAATGATATAAATCACTCTCTGAAGGGCACCTTGAAGGGAGAGTAATCCAATAAAAATGATTTAAAAACTGAGTTCTGAGTGACAATTATTTTTTAACTTTTAGCCCTCCAAAGCTCTCGCAGTGGATGGAAAAGTATCCGAAGGCATCAGGGATGAACATATCCATATGGAACGCACTATGTGAATCGTAGAGACCGATTCGAATTCGACTGATTCAAGAGAACCGATCCAATGGAACGATCCGCTTCATCAGTTAAATGCAGTTAAGATTCAGTCGACCAGTTTAATTGGCTGTAGGGCAGGGTTTGTGCTTAGCTATTTATTGGGGGAAATCACGCTATTAATAGAGATTGTCTCATACTTTCATGGTATGAAAAATAAGTTTAGCTAATGTTAACTACAAATATTGTATTTAGGTTGCAATGTGTCCATTAGTATTTATAGATTTTACACCTTTATTGCTGTGATGACACACTATAGTGATTAACATTATACAGAGGCAAGAAAAAGTATGTGAACCTTTTGGAATTTCATGGTTTTCTGAATAAATTTTTCATAAAAAGTGATCTGATCTTCATTACTGAACACACTCATTCAACATTCAAAATGGCAGTGGAAAAAGTAAGTGAACCTTTAGAATTAATAACTGTTGACCCCCTTTGTCAGCAATAACCTCAACCAGGCACTTCCTGTAGCTGTGGATCAGACCTGCACATCATTCAGGAGGAATTTTAACCCTTTCTTCCTGGCAGTACTGCTTTAGCTTGGTCATATTCTTTGGACGCCTCATGTGTATGGCTTTCTTCAAGTCATTCCATAGCATCTCTATTGGGTTGAGATCAGGGCTCTGACTTGGCCACTCCAAAAGGCAGATTTTTTTTTTCTGAAGCCAATTTGTTGTGGACTTGCTCCGGTGTTTTGGGTCATTATCCTGTTGCATTACCCAACTTCTACACAGTTTCAGCAGACGTACAGACATTCTCACATTATCCTGAAGAATTGTCTGATATACTTGGGAATTCATCTTCAGCTCAATGATGTCAAGCTGGTCAAGCCCTGATGCAGCAAAGCAGGACCAAATCATGATATTTCCTCCACCATACTTTACGGTTGGGATGATGTTTTCATGATGATACACCATGTCCTTTCTACGCCAGATGTAGTGCTGTGTGGTTTTTCCAAATAGTTCAATCTTAGTTTCATCAGTCCACAAAACATTTAGCCAATACCTTTGAGGAGTTTCAATGTGCTCTTTTGCAAACTTCAGGCATGCAGCAATGTTCTTTTTAGTAAGCAGTGGCTTCCTTTGTGGTGTCTTGCCATAGATACTCTGCTTGTTCAATGTTTTGTGTATTGAAGACTCATGAATAGAGATGTTAGCCAGTTCCAATTATGCCTTCAAATCTTTTGCTGTCATTTGTGGTTATTTGTTTACTTCATTGATGAGTCTTTGTTGTGGTCTTGGTGTCATTTTGACTGGGCGCCCAATTTTTGGTAGAGTAGCAGTAGTCTCAAAGTGTCTCCATTTGTAGAATGTTTGCTGGTGAATTTCTAATGTCTTTGAAATCACTTTGTGAGCCTTGCCATGTTTATGTAAATCAACTAGATCTTGATCGTAGATCCTCTGAAAGCTCTTTTTGGTGAGACATGACTCACATAAGCATGTACCTCTTGTGCAGAGCAAACTCCAAAAGTTTGAGGGGTTTTTATCAGTCATAGTAGCTGTAGTCCACACCTCCAAACTCATTTTCTTATCGAGACTCCAGGTGTGCAAAAAAAGGCTTTTTTGAGGTCATTAACTCAATTGTTCACATACTTTTTCCACAAGCACTATGAGTTTTTTTGGTTGTTCTCAGGAAATACATGAGGGATCAGAATTTTTTTGTATTATTATTTTAGACACATTATATTTGTCAATACCCTTGACTTAGATGAAGATCAGATCACATTTTATGACAAATTTATTCAGAAAACCATGAAATTCCAAAAGGTTCACATAATCAACATTATACATACAGTATCTCACAAAAGTGAGTACACCCCTCACATTTTTGTAAATATTTGATTATATATTTTCATTGAGCATCTGTGGGCAATCCTCAAATGGAAGGTGGATGAGCACAATGTTTCTAACATCCACCAGCCCCGTGATGTCATCATGGAGGAGTGGAAGATGACTCTATTGGCGCTGGTGTGAAGCTCTGGTGAACTCTATGTCAAAGAGGGTTAAGGCAGTGCTGGAAAATAATGGTGGCCACACAAAATATTGACACTTTGAGCCAAATTTTAACATTTTCACTTAGGGTTGTACTCACTTTTGTTGCCAGCGGTTTAGACATTAATGGCTGTGTATTGAGTTATTTTGAAGGACAGCAAATTTACACTGTTACACAAGCTGTACACTCACTACTTTACATTGTAGCAAAGTGTCATTTCTTCAGTGTTGTCACATGAAAAGATATAATCAAATATATATGAAATATAATCTTTTCTGAGATACTGTATATATTTTCTGGAAATATACTTCAAAATATGGGTAGTAATGAACATGTAAAATTTAATGAATACAGTTCATCTTGAAACTAATTAATGAAATGAATCAAACTAACAATGGAAATTAACACTCTTCTGTTAGATATTTCAATAAATAACTAAAAAAGTAAGTAAATAAATTAATTAAAAAATGCTCTCTAGGAGTCAAACAAATTATCTGTAAAATAATACCTACAATACTGTGGCATGCTGCTCAGCATGTTATGACTGCACATTTATTAATAGCCTCTAAAATTTATTACCCATTAATTATTATGCGGCACCAAAGGATTTTTTTTTTTA